TGCTTTCTGATTGGCTGGGGGCATTACAAGAGTTTCCACTATCATCGTGGAAATCTATCTTGTGGAAGCATCTCTGAGAAGAATAGGGAATATTTACAGAAGTAGGGAACTTTAACAGATTAGCAATACTCAAGATGTGGGTGTTCCTAGCCCCTTGTGTCTGTAATTGATAGTGGAATAATTATGGTTTATCATCTATAACAGGGCTTTTAATAATAATGAGGAACCTAGCTCATCAGCTGAGCTCTGCAGGACCTCAGCTTTGCAAAAATAGGGAAGTTGGCTAATAGGGAAGTTACCTAGAATCAATGCCCAGTCAGTCTACACAGAGTTATATATATTAATCTTAACCTACTGTAATTTATAAGAGCAAAAGGATATATGTGATTAAGAGAAATTGATTGAAAGTAATTAATAGATTACATTTTCACAATCCCCCCCTTTGATTCTCTCTGTAATCTCTTTACTAACATTTTATTTAAAATTTTTATATCAATATTCACTAGGGATATTGGTCAATAATTTTCTTTCTCTGTTTTGGCTCTTCCTGATTTAGGTATCAGCACCATATTTGAGTCAAAAAAGGAATTTGGAAGGACTCCTTCTTTGCCTATTTTTCCAAATAGGTTATATAGTATTGGAATTAATTATTTTTAAATGTTTGGTAGAATTCACTTGTAAATTCATCTGGTCATGGAGACTTTCTCAGTGAGTTCATTGATGGCTTGTTTAATTTCTTGGTCTAAAATGGAGTTGTTTAAATATTTTATTTCCTCTTCTGTTAATCTGGGCAATTTATATTTTTGTAAATATTCATCCATTTCAAATAGATTGCCAGATTTATTGGCATACAGTTGGGCAAAATAGCTACTAATTATGGCTTTAATTTCCTCTTCATTGGTGGTGAATTTACCCTTTTCATTTTTGATGCTAGTAATTTAGTTTTTTCCTTTCCTTTTTTAAATCAAAGTAACCAAGGTTTATCTATTTTATTGTCTTTTTTCATAAAACCCATTCTTAGTTCGAGTTATTAGCTAAATAGCTTTCTTACTTTCAGTTTTATTAATCTCTCCTTTGAGTTTCAGAATTTCTAATTTGGTGTTTAATTGGAGATTTTTAATTTGTTCTCTTATTCCCCCAATACATATTTTTTATTTTTTCTTTTATTTTGCTTTTAGGCAATTGGGGTTAAGTGGCTTGCCCAGGGTCACACAGCTAGTAAGTGTCAAGTGTTTGGTCTGAGGCTGGATTTGAACTCAGGTCCTCCTGACTTCAGGGCTGGTACTCTATCCACTGCACGACCTAGCTGCCTCTATTAATTTACTTTTAGTTATCAACAATCACTTCCATATGCTTTCAAGTTTTAAAATTTTCTCCCCTTCCCTCCCCACCTCTCTTCCCACCTCCTTCCCCAAGACATCATGCAATCTGATATAGGTTATACATACATTCCTATTAAGTATATTTTCACATTAGTCATATTGTAAGAAAGAATTAGAACCAATAGAAGGAAGCACAAGAAGGAGTAAACAAAACAAAACAGAAGAAAAAAAAGAGCAAATAATATGCTTTGATCTGCATTTGAACTCCATAGTTCTTTGTCTGGATATGGATACTAATTTGTTCTTTTTCTAGATTTTTTAGCTGCATGCCTAATTCATTGATCTTCTCTTTCTCTATTTTATTCATATAAGCATTTGGAAATAGAAAATTTCCTCTAAGTACTGCTCTGGTTGCATCCAATAAATTTTGATATGTTGTCTTACTATTGTCATTCTCTTTGATGAAGTTATTAATTGTTTCTATAATTTATTGTTTGACCCATTCATTCTTTACTATTAGATTATTTAATTTCCAATTAATTTTTTGATCTATCTTTCTGTGGTCCTTTATTACATGTAATTTTTATTGCATCATGATCTGAAAAGGATGCATTTAATATTTCTGCCTTTTCACATTTGATTGTGAAGATTTTATGCCCTAATACGTGGTCAATTTTTGTGTAGGTGCCATGTAGCACTGAGAAAAAGGTATATTTCTTTCTATGCCCATTCCATTTTCTCTAGAGCTCTATGATATCTAACTTTTCTAAAATTCTATTCACCTCCTTAACTTCTTTCTTGGTTATTTTGTGGTTAGATTTATCTAGTTCTGAAAGGGGGAGGCTGGGGTCCCCTACTAGTATAGTTTTGCTGTCTATTTCTTCCTATAACTCACTTAACTTCTCCTATAAGAATTTGGATGCTATACCACTTGGTGTGTATATGTTTATGTTGCTATTACTTCATTGTCTTCAGTACCTTTCAGCAGGATGTATTTTCCTTCCTTGTTTCTTTTAATTAGATCTATTTTTGCTTTTGCTTTGTCTGAAATCAGGATTGCTACTGTTGTTTTTTTTTTTACTTCAGCTGAAGCATAATATATTCTGCTCTAGCCTTTTACTTTTATTCTCTGTGTGACTCTCTGCTTCATATGTGTTTCTTGCAAACAACATATTGTAGGACTCTGGTTTTTAATCCACTCTGCTATCCACTTTTGTTTTATGAGAGAGTTCATGCCGTTCACATTCACAATTATGATTACTAACTACGTATTTCTCTCCATACTACTTTTCTTCTGTTTATACTTTCCTCTCTCTCTCCTTTCACCCTGTCCCTTCTTACCAGAGTTTTGCTTTTGGCCACTGCCTACCTCAATCTGCCCTCCCTTCTATCAATACCCTTCTTTTTCCCCCTTCCTCTACTACTTCTCTATAGGGTAAAGTAGATTTTTCTGCTCAACTGAGTGTGTATGTTATTCCCTCTTTGAGCCCAAACCAATTAGAGTAAGATTTGAACAATGCTCACCCTCTCCATTCTTTATCTCTGCTATAACAGGTCTTTCATACTTCTTTGTGTGGTATAATTTACCACATTCTGCCTCCCTCTTTCCTCTTATCCCAGCACAATCCCCTTTTAAATTAATTTTTATCATATCAAAGTCAACTTATTTGACTCCTTAATTAATTTTTATCATATCAAAGTCAACTTATACCCACACCCTCCAAGTATATGCCTTCTAACTGCCCTAATAGAGACATGGTTCTTAAGAATTACAAGTATCATCTTCCAATGTAGGCATGTAAACAGTTCAATTTATTGAATATCATATTTTTCTTTCCTGTTTACCTTTTATGTTTCTCTTGAGTCTTGTATTTGAAGATCAAATTTTCTGTTCAGCTCTGTTCTTTTCATCAGGAAAATTTGAAAATCCCCTGAATATCCATCTTTTCCCAGAAAGATTATGCTCAGTTTTGCTGGGTAGTTGATTCTTAGTTGTAATCCAAGATCTTTTGCTTTACAGAATAATTCCAAGCTCTCTAATCCTTTAATGTAGAAGCTGCTAACTCCTACGTAATCCTGTCTCCTTGATATTTGAATTGTTTCCTTCTGGCTGCTTGAAGTATTTTCTTCTTGACCTGATAGTTCTCGAATTTGGCTACATATTACTTAGAGTTTTCATTGTGGTATCTCTTTCAGGAGGTGATTGGTGGATTCTTTCAATGACTATTTTACTCTCTGGTTCTAGGATATCAGGGCAGTTTTCCTTGACAATTTCTTGCAAGGTACTGTTCAGGTTCTTTTTTTTTTGATCACGGCTTTCAAGAAGAATAATAATTCTTAAATTATCTCTCTTGGATCTATTTTATAGGTCAGTTGATTTTTCAATGAGGTAGTTCACATTTTCTTGTATTTTTTCATTCTTTTAGTTTTGTTTGATTGATTCTTGATGTCTCATAGAGTCATTAGCTTCTACTTGCCCAATTCTAATTTTTAAGAAATTATTTTCTTCAGTTACCTTTTGTACTTCCTTTTCCATTTGGCCAATTCTACTTTTAAATGAGTTGTTTTCTTCAGTGGAATTTCCCCCCTAATTTGGCCAATTCTATTTTTTAAGGTGTTGTTTTCTTCAGTCAATTTTTATGCTTCATTTTCCAAGATGTTGACTCTTTTTTTTTTTTATAGTCATCTTGTGTAACTCTCATTTCTGTTTCTTATTTTTCTTCTACCTATCTTACTTGATTTTAAAAATCCTTTTTGAACTCTTCAAAGAGGACTTTTTGGCTTGAGATCAATTCATATTCCCCTTTGAGGTTTCACATGTAGGCATTTTGACAGTGCTGTTCTCTTCTGAGTTTGTTTTGATCTTCCCTGTTGCCATAGTAGCTTTCTATGGTCAGCACTTTTTTTTAAATTTTTTGCTCATTTTAAAAAGTTGAACTCTGCTCCTGGGGCGCAGGGGGCACTGTTCCAAGCTTCTCACACTGAGGGCCAGGGGGTCTGGTCACTGGCTTTCTGCTTAATGGCTTGCTCACTGAGCTAGTGTGGCCCAGCCTGATGGCCTGTTGTGCCCTTGGTTCTGGATCTGGCAGTTTGCCTGCTGTGCTGTGGCCGAGAGCCTTCCCCTGGCTTGCCTGGACATCACTTGTTCTGGGTTACACTCCTCTTTTTTAATTTTTTAAGTTTTTTGCCTTTTTTGGTGAGGCAGTTGGGGTTAAGTGACTCACCCAGGGTCACACAGCTCATAAGTGTCATGTGTCTGAGGCCAGATTTGAACTCAGGTCCTCTTGACTCCAAGGCTGGAGCTGTATCCATTGTGCCACCTAGCTGCCCCTGTACTCCTCTTTTATCCAAGTGACCCAGACCTCTCCTGAAGTCCTTCTAAGTCATCTTGGGCTGGACAATTGTTTAACTCTGTCTTTTTGTGGATTCTATCACTCTAGAATTCTTTAAGTGGCTTGACTTAATGCTTCTCAGGGAAACTTGGGAGAGCTCAGGCAACTTCCTGGCTTCTCTCTGACACTTTGGCTCTGCAACACCCCCCCTCCCCCCAATTCTTTATATGAAATGTAGGGAAGGTGTTGGATCTTCTATTGTTGACTTAATATGTCAGTAAGGGAACCTATTTAGGATTTGTCTGGAGCTTGACTTTCTTTTTCTGCCCTTCTGTCTTTTCCACAGACCTGAGTGGGAAAGCCTTTGTATTCCCATTAGAATCTGAAGATTCCTATGTGACTCTGATACCACTCCTGGAGAAGTCTTTGAAGGCCTTCACCATGTGCCTGAAAGTCTACACTGATCTGTCAAGAGCCTGTAGCCTTTTCTCCTATGCCACTGAGTCAAATTATAATGAGATCCTCCTGTTTAAGAGAAGGGTTGGGACGTATGCCTTTCAAGTGGGTGATAAAGAGGTAGAATTCAAGGTCCCTGAGACTGTTCCTGCTCCAATGCACTTCTGTGCCACCTGGGAGTCAGAGTCAGGCATTGCTGAACTCTGGGTAGATGGGAAGCCCATGGTGAGGAAGGCCCTAAAACAAGGATACTCTGTGGGGGTTAAGTCAAAGATTATCCTTGGGCAAGAGCAGGATTCTTTTGGGGGAGGATTTCAAAAGACTCAGTCCCTGGTGGGGGACATTGGAGATGTGTTCATGTGGGACTTTGTGTTGTTACCAGGAGAAATTAATACTGTGTACCTTGGTGGGACCTTTAGTCCTAATTTCCTAGACTGGAGGGGGCTGAAATTTGAGAAAAAGGGCTATGTGGTCATTAAGCCTCAGTTGTGGGCGTGAGCCCCTGCTGCTCTCTGAGATCCCAGGCTTTTCTGATGACTACTTCTCACCTAAGAAATTAAACTTCATTTCCACATCTTAGACTCTGTTGTTATTTTTTTCCTGCTTGCATGGCTGCTTCCTTATGATGGAATCCTAATAAAGCAGCCCCCTGCCCCGATATTCTAATTTCCTGAGCCCCACTGAATAGCAGGCATGCCCTGATTTGACCACACAATCTGGCTTCAGCCACATTACAGGCCCCTAGACTCAGTATAGCCACTGCCTGTAGCTAGCTTTTGCCCACAGGCTCAGTCTTTTAGCTAGCCACTGTCCCCAGATCCAATTCACATATGTGAACAGGTATGTCCTTGTACTCAACCACAATCACATCATCCATTTAGCCCAAGAGAGAACTACAATACCTATCCATCTTGACCAGATAGGACCACAGTGGCTTGCCAATCAGAAAGCAGCATGACCAAGATGTTTGACCATTGAACAATAGAAGGGATCCCTTCCCATTACCCAATCCCTTAACAAATCCCTCCTGCCTTCTTAATATTCACAGTTTCTGTTGTGTAATCAGCATCATTACATTATAAATTTGCCTGTGTTGTCTTACTAAGTTGCTGGTTCCTCTTGGAACCTAGCCCACCTCTGAGGGGTGTGAATCCTCAATAAATGCCTATATTTGAATTAGAGGTGGTCTGACTCTGAATTTTTTGAAATAGTGCTGCCACAACACATCATGAAACCGCAACACTTATACTATATTATTTCTATACTCCTTATTCCCCTCTTATAGCAAAGGCAGAGAGCACAAGTAATAATCTAAGAGCAAGTGAGTTTCTTTTGGAAACTTTACCCACTGGACATCAGGTTCATAAAGGGGAAGGGACATTCAAGACCATCTCCTATAAATCCTCTCATTTTATAGATGAAGAATTTAGGCTGTCAGAGGGAGAAGTCACTGTCTCAAGGTCACACAGCTAGTTTTTGCCAAATTTATAGAATAATAGATTATAGAACAGTAGTAAAAAAAGGCATATCTTATGGTATCAAGTCTAGTCTCATTTTACAGAGGAAGACATTGATGCCTAGAAAAGTTAAATGCTTTGGGCGGAGCCAAGATGGCGGAGTGAAAGCATTGACTTGCTTGAGCTCTCCCCCAAACCCCTCCAAATGCCTATAAAAAATGGCTCTAAACAAATTCTAAAGCAGCAGAACCCATTAAAAAGAAAAAGTGAAACAAATTTCTAGCTCAAGATAACCTGGATGATTGATCAGAAAGGTATATCGTGGGCTGGTAGAGGAGTGCAGTGTGGCATGGGCATGTAGGCCGCAGGGAACCTGGAGCAGTCCTCAGAGGAATAAATCACGGGCAGCTGTGGTGGGTTCCAGACTCCTCAATCCACAAATGCCAAAGACAACTTAGAAGGTCAGTGGGAAGAGTCTGTTTCTGTGGTGCTGAGAGAGGAACACTGGCTCTCACCTCCAGTTCCCCGAGAGCTTGGCCCTGGGGGGGCAACTGCCTCCTGAGCTTCCGGCCCACAGACTGAGGGGGAATCCAGGGGCTGATCAGAGAGAGATTGCAGGGATCTCTTTGCCACTGCTAAGGCAGGAATCTCTTGCTTTGCCCATGCTTGGATCTGGGTCACAGTTCTGGGTAGCGGTCCTGGGGTGAGGAGAGGTGCTGGCGTGGTGGAGCTTGTAGTGGCTGTGAAGAAGAAACCCTCCTCACAGTTACAGGGCAGAAGGGAGTACTTGTGGTCACTAATAGACCAGAGCACAGGCCAGGAAAGGAGTAAACACCTTGGAAGAACTGAAAATTTACAGGTCCCTACAAGTATCTCTGAAAACAGCTGTACAAACCCCTGAAGCTTGGGACAGTACATTCTCCACATTGGAAGCAGGCTCTTACCTTAACAAAGAGTTTAAAACTCAAGTAATTGGCCAGGATCATGAGTAAGCAGCACAAAAAGAGTCAGACTATATTATCTTTCTTTGGTGACAAAGAAGACCAAAATATATGATCAGAAGAAGACAACAAAGTCAAAGCTCCTACATCCAAAGCCTCCAAGAAAAATATGAATCAGTCCCAGGCCTTGGAAGAGCTCAAAAGGGATTTTGAGAAGCAAGTAAGAGAAGGAGAGGAAAAATTGGGAAGAGAAATGAGAGTGATGCAAGAAAATCATGAAAAACAAGTCAACAGCTTGCTAAAGGAGACCCAAAAAAATACTGAAGAAAATAACACCTTTAAAAATAGCCTAACCCAAATGGAAAAAGAGGTCCAAAAAGCCAATGAGGAAAGAATGCCCTAAAAAGCAAAATTGGCCAAATGGAAAAGGAAGTCCAAAAGAGTACTGAAGAAAATACTTCCTTAAAAATTAGAATAGAGCAATTGGAAGCTAGTGACTTTATGAGAAATCAAGACACTGTAAAACAAATCCAAAAGAATGAAAAAAGTAGAAGACAATGTGAAATATCTCATTGGAAAAACAACTGACCTGGAAAATAGATCCAGGAGAGAGAATTTAAAAATTATTGGACTATCTGAAAGCCATGATCAAAAAAAGAGCCTAGACATCATCTTTCAAGAAATTATCAAGGAAAACTGCCCTGATGTATTAGAATCAGAGGGCAAAATAGAAATTGAAAGAATCCACTGATCTCCTGCTGAAAGAGATCCCCAAAGGAAAACTCCTAGGAATATTGTAGCCAAATTCCAGAGTTCCCAGGTCAAGGAGAAAATATTACAAGCTGCCAGAAAGAAACAATTCAAGTACTGTGGAAACACAATCAGGATAACACAAGATTTAGCAGCTTCTACATTAAAGGACCCCAGGTCATGGAATATAACATTCCAGAGGGCAAAGGAGATAGGATTACAACCAAGAATCACCTACCCAGCAAAACTGAGTATAATCCTTCAGAGGAAAAAATGGTTATTCAGTGAAATAGAGAACTTTGAAACATTCTTGATGAAAAGACCAGAGCTGAATAGAAAATTTGACTTTCAAACACAAGACTCAAGTGGAACATGAAGAGGTAAACAGGAAAGAGAAATCATAAGAGACTTATTAAGGTTGAACTGTTCACATTCCTGCACGTAAAGATGATATTTATAACTCATGAGACCTTTGTCAGTATTAGGGTTGTTGGAGGAAAAAAATTATATGAATGTATAGATAGATAGATAGATAGATAGAAGATAGAAAGAGAGAGGGGGGGGCACAGGGTGAGTTGAAGATTAAGGGGTCATATCTGGAGAATAAAATTAAGGGATGAGAGAGGATTATACTCAGAGAAGAAGAAAGGGAGAGGTAGAATGGAGTAAATCATCTCACACACACACACACACACACACACACACACACACACACACAAAACACACCAGAAAAGAAAAGACTCTTACAGTGGGGGGAAATGGGGGAAGGGGAGAGGGAATGAGTGAATCTTATTCTCATAGGATTTGGCTTACAGAGGGAATGACATACACATTCAGTTGGGGATGGAAATCTGTCTTACCCTATGGGAAAATAGGGGGGGAAGGCAACAAGAGAGCAGGGAGATGATAGAGAGGAGGGCAGATTGGGAAAGGGGGTAATCAGAAGCAAATACTTCTGAGGAAGGACAAGGTCAAAAGAAGGAATAGAATAAATGGGAGAGCAGGATACGATTAAGTGAAATAGAGTTAGTTTTTCACAACAAGTCTACTATGGAAGTGTTTTGCATAACTGCACATATATAACCTATATTGAGTTGCTTGCCTTTTCAATGAGGGTGGGTGGGGAGGGAGGAAGGGAGAAAATTTGAAACCTAAAGTTTTAAAAACATATGTTTAAAAAAATGTTTTCACATGCTACTGGGAAATAAGAAATACAGGAAATGGGGTACAGAAGTCTATCCTGCCCTACAGGAAAATAGAAGGGAAAGGGCATAAGAGAAGGGGGGTAGAGATAGAAGAAAGGACAGACTAGGGGAAGGGATATTTAGAATGCATGCCTTCTTGGGGTGGGGGAGGGGTGAGATGGGGTGAAAATTTGGAACTTAAAATCTTGTGGAAGTAAATATTGAAAACTAAAAATAAATAAATTTATATTTAAAAAACTCTGAAAGAACATAGAGTGGGGAAAACAGAACTGAAAGAAGGGAATATCTGTTCATTATAATTATATAAGAGAAAGATTGAACAGGAACAAAGAAACCCAATAAAGGTCTTATGGAAATGAAAAAAAAAGTTAAATGTTTTGCTTAGGGTGGACCAGGTATTAGGTGATAGAAACAATTTGAACTCAGTTACTTGGGCTTCACATTTAGCACTCTTTCTATTTCTAGGTAAAGGGGGGAGGAGCATACCTAGAACCCAAATCTCCTGATTCCTCTATCCAGTGCTTTTCCCACTTTATCATCTTCCCTTTGTTTTTATGTGACATTAATAATTGTAAAATTTTAAAACCCTAAAAGACTGTACTGGGATTCTGGGCTTGTACTTGACTCCAGAAGTTATTTATTGCACACAGGTCTTGATTAGTATGAATAATGAATCCCATGAAGTGGCTGCATTATTTGAATTTTCATTTCATGCTTCTGTTGGGTTAGAAGTAATTATCAGGGTAACCAGACTTTGATTCCAGTGAAAAGTATAAAGTGGATCATTAACAAGATGTTTAGGGTACATCTAGAAAAAGATTTAGTGATTACAAAGAACTTGCTTGGTTTCACTAAGAACAAGTTATGCGCTATGCCAGTCTAACCTTACATACTTTTTGTTGGGTAAGGTATCTAAATCTGGATCAGAGGGATGCTATAGATCAGGCTTGCATAACATATGGCCTTCAGGCTGCCTGTGGTCTGCCAAAGAATATCAGATAGCCTGTGAAAAATGTAGAGAATGTAAAAGAAAGTAAAGATGTAATGAGTGCTTTGTCCATGCCCTGCTTACCCTGCCTTCCACCAGTCGCTAGTGTGCCAGACATGTAACTTGGTGAGTAGGTTGCCGCTATGGATGCTGTCCTGTTTGTCATGTGACCCATGGCAACCAACCATCGTCAGTCTGTCTCTAGTCTGAGAAGAGCAAGAGTCATTTCTTTTTGCTGTGTTTTCAGTCGTTACTGGCGTTAGATGGGGACAAAGTGAGTGCAGCAACAGATCAACACAGCTGATGCCTGCTATGTGATGAGTGGCAACAATGTGAGGGCTTCTCCACCCTCACTGCATAGCCACCCTCCAAGTTACAAGAGTGCCTGTTGCTCTTTCCAAGGTCAGACACTCAATTCAGTATTTCTTTGTATATGAGCAGTTGCTGTAAAGATTGTTTGGTTCTAACATTAAAGTTTTTGGGGTGACTTTGTAAATGGGTGATAAAAAGAAAAAGAAGATCGTATCAGAGCACAGAGTGTTTAATCCAGAGTGGACAAATAGATACTTGTTTACTTACATGAGAGACAAGATGTTGTGCCTTGTTTGCTGAAAAGTAATAGCTGTTCTGAAAGAACAATTTTCATTGCCACTTTGAATCAAAACATCATGACTTAAGCAAATTAGACACCAATGAAAAACAAATCAGAGCATCTAAATTGTTGAAAAATCTCAGCGTGAAAGAGTTTTTCTTTTTTTCTTTTTTTGTTTACTTTATTTATTTAATTTTAAAAAATTGTTTTCTATTTTTTATAGATTATTTTATTTTATTTTTTAAT